AAAATGCCATTAATTTTTAATATACCTCTAGAAGAAAGTAAAATTTTCTCATCATGAGGGGTCCTTCAGATTTGAAAATTTATAAATTTAACATTTTAGGGACTAAAGTATACTTATTAAATAAAGAGTCTGAATAATCTAATAAGTTGGATTAAATTAGTTCACCATTTATCCCTGTTGTGTACAATCTTTTTTGAACTTCAGGATGCATCTGATTATTTACAATCCATAGGTTTCCTCTTAAAGATATGAACATAAAAAATAATGGCACACATAGTAAAAATCTTAGAGAGTTGGGTTTATTTTTTTATTAGTGTATCATAGGTTTTACTAAAACTTGTTTAAAAAAAAATTTTACTACCATGGTATTTTTAAAACATGGGTCTGAAGGACCATTTTTATAATAATAATACTATCTCACATTTTTATAGCACTGAACAACATCCAAAGGCTTTTATATATATAATATTGATTGTCCTAACAACATTTGGTTATAGCACATAAGACAACAGAGTACCAAAGAGGCTGATGCATTCAAAGTCACAAAAACAGTAAATTTAAAAGTTGAGACCAAAATCTGGTTCTCTTCGAGTATGGCCCCCGGACATCCTTTTAGCTCAGTGATGAAGTCACTCCTAAAGTTCACCATTCAGCCAGTGATTGGACAGCTGCATAAAACACAATGGGACTAATGAGGTACAGCAGTCCAGTGACAAGGACTAGAAGGCAGGAGGGGACAGGAAATCTGGTGATAGGAAACCCAAGGTTGAGAAGGTACAGTGTTGACATCTCGTGGGGTTGTTAACCATTATTACAGGGCAATATGTGTACTAACTATTTAATGAGAAACTATTTGTTCTGCAAACTTCATCTAAGGTACAAAAAAAAAAAATTATGTGAGATCAAACTGACAACAGCAACTTGAAAGGTTTGATGGGAAGCCTAGGGGGCAGTGAGTTGAAGATAATGGTGATGGAATAATTTGGAAAAGGATAGTGAGAATAGCAGCACAACTGGAAGAATAT